ACACACGAAAAGATGTTCTAATGGCTGATGAGCCATTAGAGAAATACAAAGTTCAACCGTGATGCGGTATCACAAGATGTGACAACACAAAATACTGGAAGGAAGCAAACAAGCTGGATCTCTCACACCATTACTGACAGAGATGTCACATGGTACAGCCACTCTGGAAAAAGGGTTGACAAGCTCTTTAAAAAACTGACCATATACTTCCTGTATGACCCAGCCACTGTGCTCCTAGACGTTTATTCCAGAGAAATCAAACCCTAGGTCCAGGCAAGAACCTATTCACACAGAGGTTCATGGTATGTGTAACAAAGAGTGGAAACAACCGTAAAGTTGCCCTCGAAGAGAAAGGTCAAACAAACTGCCCCTCCCCTACGACCCAGGACTAAACAGGAGCAAACTGCTGATCCACGCAAGAATGTGAATCCATCTCAAGGGCATTATGCGAGGCACACACAGCCAACCTAAAAGGTCACATTTTGTATGATCCCTTGATCATACAAACTCTTGAAGTGATGTGGTGTAGGTTAAGAGAGCAGGTTAGTGGTTGCCTGGAGTTATGGGTGGAGGACAGAGCAGGCGTTTCTATTCGGGGCAGATCTCAGTGCTGATGGAATCGTTCTCATCTTGACTGCTGTGGTCATTTCAGGAATCTACATGTGTGTGAAACTGCACAGAAATAAACACACATTATACAAACGTCTGTTTCCTGGTTTTGACATGGTGCACAGTGCCACAGTTATATAAAATGTAACAATTAAGATAAACCGGGTACATGGAACCCCTGTGCACTCTTTATAATTTCCTGTGAATTTATAACTGTTTCCAAATACAAAGTAAAAAAACTAAAAGTAGTCACATATTTTATAAAAATAGAAATACGGAGGAAAATGAGATGGTACCACTTCCTCACTCAAACCCCCCCCAGGGCTTCCCATTTCAGCAGAACACAGGCGCACCTTCCGTGGCCTCCAAGGCCCTGCGTTCCCCCGCCATGCCTGCTTGTCTCACTGCAGGCACCCTGCCTTCTGGCTGGGTCTGCAACATGACAAACATCCTCACACGGGCCTTCACACTGCTCACTCTCTACCTGGAGCGCTCTCCTCCCAGACTCTGCATGGCTCCACCCTTCATATCGTTTGAGTTCAACCGCCTCCATTCTGACCTCAGTCTGTACTTTCTAACAGAATAGCTCTTCTTTCCAGCTTACCTCTTAACTCAGGCAAAAAACCCCAGCAGGCAGAGCATCTCCTGGTAGGAACTGAAACCAACCCCTCAAGCAATAGGGACTGCCTGGAGCCAGCAAGACCCCACCTCGGACTGATCCCAAGACAATGACCGACCTTCACTGCCCACCAGCACGGACCCAGCGACCTTTGTCCCACACCTGTCTTATGCAAACCTGGAGGTATTTGCAGCACTTTGGAGACTGACTGTCTTTGAGATGCTAGCCCCCTATCTTCCCAGTGTTGGCCTCACTGAAATAGACTCCTTTCCTGTTTGACCACCACCTGCCCCTCTGCCTTTGGTTGTGTGAGTGGTGAGCGGCCGAACCTGGTCTGTATGGGACCCCCGGAGCCAGGTGATCTCACCCCCCTGCTTCCCGGCTACACGTGCTCACAGACTCCTCCTGAAGAACGCTTCCAGGACCATCATATCTCAATTAGCATTCCTCTCCAACTACCCATCATTTTCTACCCTCTGACCCTGGCTGTCTATCATTTACTCCAGGTGCCCTGGCCCCAAATCAGGATATATACAATTCTTTTGAATTGTTAGCCTCTTAATTCCCAAAGCTTAGTAGGGCCTGGCGTGTAGTAAAAACCCAGTAAGTAGTTGATGAGCCAGTGAATCTGCTGAGAAATTAAAGAACATGACAATGATGTGACGGATCTTCAACACCAGACAGAGTGGGGGAGCTACAACATGCTCGATGAAATGGAGAATGTGAGGGCAGAAACGTACATTCGAAGAGTTCAAGTCACCCAGTTTTTCACGTTCCCCCCATCCCCTGCTCTTAGAGCGGAGCCTCCCTGTCTCTGCCCCCAGCGGTGCCTTCAGGATGCATGGTGGCTTCCACCCTTGTCTCCTGGAACCCACTGGTCACGCGAGAACGAGGACGCAGAACCCCCAGGGGAAGCCACACGGAGGCCCAGAAAGAGGACAATGAGTAGAGGAGGGGGACAAAGATACCACAGCGTGGCCGGGGAAGGGGGTCCTTGGGCCCGGCCACGTCAGCTGAGGACGTGTGGATCACAGGGGGACCTCCAGACAAGCCCTTCCTGAGTCCCTGACCCACAAAATTGTGCGCAAAGCAAAAATGGTGATTTTAAGCCACTAAGTACTGTAGTAATTTGTAATGTGGCAAAAGTCATCAGGCAAGAAGAGATTTCTGAAAGCTGGGGAGAAAGCAAATCATAAACAATCAAACAGTGTCACAGGTCAGCACACAAGAGAACAGAACTGCCCCAGGCAGGCATAGGAGTGAAAGAGCTAGAACACCTACTTCTGGATTTCTGTAGGGAGCAAGGCAGTGGGATTTGCCCTCGGGACAGAGGGATGGGAGGAGGGGCAGAGCGAGGAAGACAATGTGAGGGACACCGGAGGGGACAAAACACAGCACCGCCTTCCTGTCATTCTTAACCACTGGCTCAACTCAGCACAGACAACTCAGTCCTTGAGTCTACTCAGTCCTAGGTTTTACAACAAAGAATCCAGAGAACTGTTAAGAATTCAGAGGTGCTAGAGATCAGGAAACACGACCCAGAGGAAAGGATATGCTCCTGCGCCATTTGGAAGGAGAGGATTAGAGTAAAACCCAGGGATGCTGAAGGCCCTGCTATTTATTCGCTAGGCTACAGAGATTAAGCTAAAGTGTTTACAGTAACCAAACACGAAAACAGTGAGAGCCGAAGACAGAATGGCTTATTACAGACCGGAGTGTCTTCTGGAAATCTGTATCTACTTTTTCTAAGTAGCCCTACCTTTTCTAGGTAGGGCTGTGATTCTGTGCAAATCTGAGCGATGTCCCAGGTTTCTTCCAGGATGGCTGAGTGCACGGCCTCATGACTGCTCCCACGCGGTCACCCGAAGTGCTCTTGGCAATGATGTAAGTCACCGAGCAGCTACTTGCCACACCCCCTGGGAGACTTGCTGCCAGCATCACGTGACCTGTACGACACTCCTGCCAAGTGGGTATCACTCTCCTCATCTCCCAGATGAAGAGACAGTGGTGAGTGGGATAAAGGAACGTGTGCCGATGCTGACGAGTGATGAATACATTTGCTCTTCCTTCCTGTCAGAAAACTTCAACAACCCCCAGAATTTCCTGAGGGAATGGAGTCTTTGTTACGCTAATGAGAGGACTCAAGGTTGGCCCCAAGATAACTCCAGGATGGGCCAGGTACCAGAAAGACCAAACCTGCGATTAGAGGGCTGGAATTTGGAGCCAGACCTCTGCAGAGAAGGGGTGGCGGTGGAGATGGACTTCAGTCAACCACAACTATATAATAAAACCCCCACAGAAACTCTCTCAGGAAGCAAAGCTCTGGAGAGCTTCACGGTTCATGAGCACACTGGGGCCAGGAGGGGGGTGTGCCCCAGCTCCAAGGGGAGAGAGCACTGAGGGCCTGCACTGCCCCCTGGCCTGGCCCGACATGCATCCTTTACAACAACCTGCAACTTTAAGTACAGTGACCCTCCAACAACGCAGGGTTAGGGGTGCCGACTGTCCCCCGCCTCAAAAGTCTGCATGTAACCTTCGATTCCCCAAAAACCTTCTCGTAGCTACTGTTGACTGGAAGCCGTGCCGGTAACGTCAAGTCAATTAACACGTATTTTGAGTGCTATGTTGTGCCCTATTCTTATAATAAAGTAGAGAGAATATTAAGGAAATCATTAGGAAGAAAAAATGCATTTATAGGACTACACTGTGTTCAGCGAGAAAACTGTGTATAAGTGGACCCACATCACTGAAATACGTGCTGGTTAAGGGCCAAGTGTATGGCGCTTTCCTACACAGGAAATCCATCCATCCATTGTTCAGCTGCAAAGCTGGCGGGTCAGACGCGTGGTGTCCCGGAGACACCACTCGCGCGGACTGGGGGTGGGGAGGACCCCTGGACTCACAGGACCTGACGCCAGCTCCGTGTGGTCAGTGTCGGAGCTGAACCACAGTCGACTCCTCGGCAGTCAGACTGACTGGGGAATGGAATGGAACGGCAAGAGACGAAGCGCCACAGTCAGGCCTCAAACCCGGTGCCGTCCGACTCCAAAGACAGTACTTTACTATCATCAAAGTCTAAACCGTAACATCTGTGAATTTTTCATATGAAAATGAAGTGGCACATAATTCAGGAAGGTTTCACCTTCCAAAGTAACTTTTGAGACCTGAAAGAACAATTTCATCAGCTGGACTGCCGGCTGACGCAGTTAACACCCGGGTCGATGCAGGGGCTGCTACGACAGCCCAAGGCTCCCGTGGACGGCGGAGGGTTAAACAACAGGAAGAGAATGCGGGACCCACAGTGAGAGCACCTGAAGCACGTCTGAAGTGTGGAGCCCTTTCTACAACCCTTGCGGCGCTGAAGCTTACACACAACTTGAAGTACTAGTTAAATGCAAGTACAGGGACATGATGCCGATATAAACCCTTGAAAATGCATCCTCGACCTTCAGATACAGTGAGAACAGTCTGGATCTTGTTTCCTACGAGCTTGAGAGAAACCATAGGACATAAATTCTGATAATACTTGTATGGTCACTTGTATGGTGTACATTCTGAGCTTTCTGCCAACTGGACTACCTTCTGAGCGCCAACATAGAAAAAAATCTCACGAAATCTGGGCGGTAATACTATTGTTTTTCACTCTAGCTTACAGAGGAGCTTCCTAAGGTTTTATTTCAACTTATGAGCTCAAAAGTGATTTCCTAAACGTCATCTTCCATTACTAGGATATATGTAAATCCCATGGCTTTCACATAAACGATCTCCTCACCTGGCCGGTTGGTGGCTGCCATAATGAACACCTCCTGCCGTGCTTCGAGACCGTCCATCTCGGTAAGTAGCTGATTCACCACCCGGACACTTGCCCCCGCCTAAAAATCAATAAAGACAGCTCCATCAGTTCCCAACAAAAGAAAAAACACACCACGTTTTTCCATACAAAACGACGACTTGCTAATTGGAATGAAAACTCTGGTCAAGAGGTAACGGTGATCATTTTCTGAGAGGCGCTGTGCAAAACACATTCTCAGCAGGAACTCCCCCAAGTCCTGGTGTCCCGTCTTCCAGAAGGAAGAAGCTGAGGCTCAGAGAGACCACCTGTCCAGGCCTCTCAGCTAGACACAGGCAGGCCTGGTTAACCTGAGTCTCCTGCCTCCAAGTTATTCAAAGATCTGCTGGCTGCAGTGGATTTCCCGTGGGTCAAGTGTAGACTCAGCACAGAGAGATCCCCTAGGATGTGAGATGTTCCTGATCTTTGGGCTGGGGCACGGAGGCTTTTCCTCTTTTCCTGGAAGCCCACAGTACAAAGCAGAACTACCCTGGGGCAACATCCAAGAGAAAGGACCGGGGAGGTGGTGGACAGACAGGTAACTCACTCGGACACAGAACTGTTCTAAATGCATAATGGAGGAGACAAGAGAAGTGGGGTGTCTGTGTGTGTGTGTCTATGTATCTGTCTCTGTCTGTGTGTGTCTCTGTACGTGCGTCTGTGGGTCTCTGTGCGTCTGTCATGACCACCCTTCTTCAATAGAAAGTCCATGGGCAGAGGTGGTCATGAGTTTACCTGAGGATTTCTCCAGAAAGCAGCTGGCGCACGTCACCACTCCTGGGAGACGTGACACCAACAAATCAGAGGATGAAGATAATTATAATCCAGACTCAAAACAATACAGCAACACATGGGATTTAGAACGTCACAGCAGCCAGGACGACTGGGGAAGGGCCTCTGCCCTGGCCATCGACGTCACCATGAGAGACAAGACTGTGGAGGGATTTTCTGAGATGCTAGCGAGGACTCCTGGATGAGGAAACAATCTTGCTATGACATGGGTCATACGGACATGAGTTAAGTTTTGTTCTTGCGACTCTGGAAGGCTTCTGGAGATTGTGAGCAAAATGAGGCATTTAATAACTGTTTTACAACCTTCCGGGCACGCACAGAACAACTATGTGAAGAAAAATCACAAAAGAAATAAAATCACCTTCTTAGTCATCTCGCCATGAATGTCCTTATCAGAGAGTCTCTGCTACCTGTTTCAGAAAGGCCGTCTGTTCCTTACGGGAGGCTTTGTTCCGCTGTGGACTCGGAGACAAGCGTCCCTGTGGTAACAGCACTCCAGCCACTCACCGCACCGGAATTCCTACCAACTGTGATTCAGCACAGTGACGCAGGGGTGTCCAGTGCAGACAAGGAGCACGGCGGAGTCTTAAAGCCCGGCCCTATTTCGAAAGGATCTTAAATTACACTTTCTCCTGTCTCCAGAAACCATGTGTCAGAGAGAGTCACGATCACGAGGCGGGCTCTTCGAAGCCACGTCATTCCCGTTCCCAACCACTCGCCGGCATGACCCAGACCAGTGCAACCAAAATCATGTAGACAGAAATGGAAGCAGAGGCCAAGAAAAACCAACTGTCACCCCCAGGGCCTCATTTCGAATTACTAGGTTTCTTCACTGCAAGAATCGCAGTGCTCTTGGGGAACGACTTTGTCAGAACTCACAAAAGGTTTATTAGGGCACACCTACCTCCCGGTCTGACCTTCGAGGGCACAGGGCGTCCACTTCGTCAAAGAAGATGACGCAGGGTGCAGAGCTCCTGGCTCGCTGGAACACCTGGCGGACTGCGCGCTCGCTCTCACCGACATACTGACAGCAGAAACAACACAGAGACCGGTCAGCCCTGGGGTTGCGGTCAAATCTCGGTAAAACTAGTTCTAAACAACAGGTAGGTATCAGAGTCCAAAAAGCATTCGGTTGAACCACATGCAACTGCTGATAGGCACCCATTTTTGATGCATAAAAACAGCCAACGTGTGGCTCAATGTAATAAAATCAGCTATTATTGATGCTTATACATTTCCTTGTTTGCCAAGTGAATGTAAGGTCTCCTCCAAGTCAAAAATAATCCCATAATCCTATTGTGTTGATCTCCTAAGCCTGATCACGTAAGACACCCAGCTGTAACTCTCAGGACTTCAGCTGTGTTGTAACTGCTGTCTGCCACTCTGCCGTGTTTTCCACACAGTCATGCTGCCGTCATACACCATCAGAGGAGGCAGGCAAGCCAGTGAGACCTCCACAGGCTCCTCCGTATGACATACTGTACGTTAAAGTCTAAATCAAGGGCGCCTGGCTGGCTCCATCAGAGAAGCGTGCGACTCTCGAGTTCGGGGCCATGAGTTCGAGCCCTGCGTTGGGTGTAGAGATGACTTAAATAAATAAAAACTTAAAAAAAAACAAACCCAAAATCAAAACATAGAACAGTAAGATCAGTCAAGAAATACAGCAATTCACAGGCAGCTATAACATTAGAAAGTCACATGTGAGAATATGTTCTCACTGTTGGCAAAGCGTAAAAAATTGTTCTTGTAAAATTTCGAACTGGTTAACTAAGAAAAAGCAGGTTTTTTCAGAATACAACAGCTGAATCAGACAGAATCTGAAAACTCCAAGTATCTGCTGTGCTGTTTTATGGTAAAGTCACACAGGCATGAGGCGCACCACGGACGACAGTGACGAAAGTGTACGTTTCCCGTGAGTAGAACTTTCCTTCCCTCACAGCTGCCCTGTCCTTTCCCGGTACTTCTGCTCATTGTGCTTCTCATGTCTGCGCTGCTTCCCAGCCTGCCCCCAGTTCTCCCAACTGTCTGCCGACTCCTCTCCTTCACGGCGTCTCTGCTACTGTAACCTGCAGCTTGTGCACCTTCGCCGCGTCAGAGCGGGAAGTCCTCGGAAGGACGCGGCACTCGCACATTCATCTCCGTCATCACACCGTGCACTCTGCACAAATACAGTAGACTGGTTCGGGTTCCTAAAGAATCTAAGTCAGAACAAGTTCTACCCGGAATGCTGAACCGACATCATCAGACATTTACAAGAAAAGCTAGCCGTGAGTTGTCAGAGGTAAAGTCTCCCACAGGGACAGGCAGGAACAGTCAACATGGCACAAGGACTGTGGACTTGGCAAACCACAATGACCAAGAAAAGGAAAACTTAATTTAGGGAAAGGTAAACCTCAAGTTTCAAAAGGACCCATTAAAAGGTCAGTTAATCTTAACAAAGGCCAACACTGATTAAAAATAAACAAACAAAAGAAAACCCCACTATGTTGGCCTTTAAGAAATATTTCAAAAAAGGAGACTATACCTATCATTTCTAATTCTGTATTTAAGTTTTATTTATTCATTTGAGACACAGAGATACAGAGAGAGAGAGAGCATGAGCAGGGGGAGGAGCAGAGGGAGAGGGAGAAGCAGACTCCCCACTGAGCAGGGAGCCCGATGCAGGACTTGATTCCAGGACCCTGAGATCCAATACCTGAGCCAAAGGCGGACGGACGCTTAACCATCTGAGCCACCCAGGCGCCCCTGCCATTCAGTTTTGAACCTTGATAATCTAGCTTTTGCAAACACAATTACTGAAAATACTCTCCCTAAAGTCACTAACGACCTTTTAGTAGTTGCCAAACCCAAGGTCCTACTTTCAGTTCCTGGTACTCGGTCTGGTTACACTGACAAGGTTGAAGAAGTTAGCCGCCCCGCCGCCCCCCCACAAGGTTTTCAGCCTTAGAAAGTCCTGGGCGTCCTCCCCCTTCGGGAGACCAGCCTGCTTCGCCAACTTTTCCTTCCTTGCCCCAGAGCCATCAGGGGCCCCACTCAATGCACCGCCTAGTAGACCTGGCCCATTCCCAGGGTTTTAGGTGCCACCCCAAATCTCAGCGCTCCAGACTCACATCCGTGCATCTGCTGGACATCTCCAGACCCCAAGTCTGAAATTCCCCAGATCAAATGCATTTTCTAACCCCGAGAGGTCAATCTTCCTCAATAGACCACCTCATCTCTGCCCCAGTCATGCTGGACTCTGCCGCAGACCTCTTCCCACACCTCTCCCTAGAGAACAGGTGAGACCACCATGAGATGACCAGTCACACTTCTCAGATCTGACACCACGGCGCTGGTGAGGCCGTGGGGACCCCCAATCACAGCCGGGGGACGTGTAACTCAGCAACAACCACCTTGGGAAAAAAGCTGGCAAAACTATTTTTGGGGAAAAGTGCACACACTCTAGAAGAGACAGCAATTGTCCTCATGTACACACCCTTGGGAAATAGCTCCAAATGTATGTATATATGTGTATATAACGTTCGATCTAAACATCAAGAAAGCAGCTCATTTTTTTAAAGTGTGGTTATATCCATTCGGTGGAATACCACACAGAAGACTAACAACCTCGAGGGAAACTTACCAACCAAAATAAAATCTGCGATAGAATGATTCAGAAGAATTATTTATTAGGTCACTCGGATATATCTGGTCTTCACCCAGTTTCTGAGAACCCTCAGGGCCACGAAAGTAAAAGAAGGTCTTGCTAATCAAGGTGAATTTGGACCCCACCCGAGTGCAGGACTGCTGCCAGGAGGACGTGTGGTCAGAGGAATGGAATTTTCAGTCCTCCTCACCCCCCACCTCCTGGTACAGGACGGTGCTGGAGACTGAATCAGCCAAAGGTCAGTGACTCAGCCGATTATGGCTATGTAATCACACCTCCACAAAAAACCAAGACGACAGTTTTTCAGTCCTTCTACACCAGGTAAGCGGTTTGCCACCCCATACCCCAGAGCCAAGCCCCAAGCTCCAAAGACTCCTGTTTGGGACTTTGCCCCATGTACCTCTTCATTTGGAGGTAGATTCTTATCTTTTATCATATCCTTCGATAAACACAAGTGTTTTCCTGAGTTCTGGAGCTGCTCTAGCAAATTAGCAAAAGAAGGAGGAGGCTGTTGGAACTTCCAATCTGGTGACAGCCTGGGGCCTGGGCCTGGTGTCTGCAGTGGAGGATGGGGAACCCTGCTGTAGGACTGAGCCCCTAGCCTGTGGAGTCCGATGCTGTGTCCTGGCCGACTGTGCCAGAACGGAGTTGACCTGAGTCGAGTTCTCAGACCCCCTGCCAGTGTCTGAGATTGCTCAATGTTTTGGGGGGGTTATCCCTTTCCCCCTGGAACTGGGTCCAGGAACTCTAAAATAATTATAATGTTCAACAAAAATAACAATAAAATCAAGTTACAAAAGAACACGTACCACTTACATAAAGTGCGGTTTTTTTGTTTTTGCTTTACTGTTTATGAAAGCGTTCCAAACACGTAACAAAAGCGGGCATAAGAGTATACTGAACCCCAAACATGCCCATCACCCAGCTTCAGTCATCATCTGCTCAATTCCTGACCAACCTTCACCTAACAGATGCTCCGCTTTTCATTCTTGTCATTTTGAAGGAGAGCCCAGACATCGTATTTTATTTGTAAATATTTCTCTATCTCTAACGAAAAACAATGGTTTCTGACAATGACATCATCACACTTAAAACTGGTTTTCCTTTTGTTTTTTCAGTTTTAATTCCAGTGCTGTGAACACACAGTGTAGTATTAGTTTCGGGAATACACACGGTGATGCACACCTCCCCGTCTTACTCAGTGCTCATTAGGACAAGCGCACTCCGCATCCCCGCACCGAGTTCACCCTTCCCTTAGAAGTTATTTTTTTAACATCAAATATCCAGTCAGTGTTCAAATTTCCAATTGCCCCCTAAACAATGATGAGACGTGTACAATAATACTGTGTGTTGCTGAGGGATAAATACACATAAAGTAAATGTAGAAAGTACACGGAATCAATGAACACCAAATTCAGGATTATGGTAAATTCTCCGGGAGAGAGAACTGGGTCATGGTTAGGGAAGGTCTGCAGGGGCGTCGAGCATCTTGGTTCTGTGTATTTTTTAAATCTGGGTGACAGATACAGAGGGTTCATTCCATTACTCTTCATAACTTCTTCTGTGCTTGGGATATTTCATAATAAAGTTAACAAAACGTTACACGCTTGCTTTACGACCTCCTGGGTCTCCGCGATTCTGGAGAGGACACCCCAGCTCTCGCGCAGAGGACAGCCATTCACTGTCCCGCGGGACCTTCTTTTCCAGCCTCATCCCTGATCAGTCCTCTCCCTCCCTCTCCCTCCTCACTTCTAACACCTCCTCTGCCAGAGTGCTGAAATGAAGTACAAGAGAAGTACACACATAGAAAGCCCACAAGAGGGACGCCTGGGGGGGCTCAGTCGTTGGGTGTCTGCCTTCGGCTCAGCTCATGATCCCAGGGTCCTGGGATGGAGCCCCGCATCGGGCTCCCTGCTCGGCAGGAAGCCTGCTTCTCCCTCTCCCACTCCCTCTGCTTGTGTTCCCTCTCTTGCTGTGTCTCTCTCTGTCAAATAAATAAATAAAATCTTAAGAAAAAAAAAAAGCCCACAGGAAATGCCTAAATATGAATCCTTACTTCAGGAGGAAAGTATCACACAGAATAGGAAACACATAAAAACTGGTAGGGGGGATAAATTTAAAAAGCCTTTTATTTAATTTTTTTTAAGATTTTAAGTAATCTCTACACCCAAGTGGGGCTCGAACTCATAACCCCGAGATCAAGAGTTGCACGCTCCACTGACTGAGCCAGCCGGGCACCCCTAAAAGACCTTTTAAAACAAATGATAAGGAGCACCTGGGTGGCTCAGTTGTTGGGCGTCTGCCTTCGGCTCAGGTCATGATCCCGGGGTCCTGGGATCAAGCCCCGAGTTGAGCTCCCTGCTCGGAGGAAAGCCTGCTTCTCCCTCTCCCACTCCCCCTGCTTGTGTTCCCTCTCTCGCCGTGTCTCTCTCTGTCAAATAAATAAATAAAATCTTAAAAAAAAACCAAAACAACGATAATACTTTCACTTCTTCGTTTGAATCACATGACAGAATGGCATTTTTACTTCTCACAAGGATGAAGAGATAATAAGATATTCAAACTCTCTTAAATTTGAGACACTATATAAACTCCTAATTACAGAAAGAAGTTACTACATAAGATGGTAGTATTTTTCCCCCGAAGTACTTTTATTTATTAAAACTTAAGTCATTTGGGGGGGCGCCTTGGTGGCTCAGTCGATTGAGTGTCCAACTCCTGATCTTGGCTCAGGTCATAAACTCAGGGTCATGAGTTCAAGCCCTGTGTTGGGCTCCGTGCTGGGTGTGGAGCCTGCTTTAAAGAAAAAAACAACCCGAGTTGTTTTCGCCACAGGACACGAGGGCAAGGCAAGCAGAGAAGGAGTCACGTAACCAAGACTCAAACCTCAGCTCTCCTCCCCCAGCCCTCGGACTTTGGCCAAGATGCGTGCTGCCTGCAGAGTTCAGTTTCCTTGTTTGGAAATCAGGATTCAGAGGAAACAATAATTCGTGTCTCACAGGGTTGTTGAAGAAGAATGCAGGTAACCCTTGAACAACAGACAGGGTTAGGGGCGCAGGCCCCCCTCCCCACCGCCATCGAAAATCTACGTGTAACATCTGACTCCCCCAAAACCTAACCACTAACAGCCTGCTGTTGACCTTCAGAAGCCTTACCGACAACATAAACAGTCAACTGACACCTACTTTGTATGTCCTGTGTATCACACACTGAATTCTTACAAGAAAGTTATTAGCAGGAGAGAAGAAAATATGATTAAGGAAATCGTAAGGAAAATACACTGCTAGGACCGTATTTACTGAAGTCTCCGCATGTAAGTGAGCCTGTGCAGCTCAAACCCAGGCTGCTCAAGGGCCGACCATGTGTGTACAGCGTATGATGAACACTCAGCACAGAGCACACACTTTAAATGTTATTTCCATTTCACAGGTGGGAACACAGAGGCTCAGAGCTGAGGAGACTTACTAAGGAGAGCAGCTACACACACTCGGTACCGCCTGCAGCGGAGATTTTACCAAAATGCCGCGTCCATAAGTGGAGAGGCCGCAAGTCTCCTAAGCTATACTCATGGCTGACGCCACAACGACTTACCATGTTGAGCAATTCGGGGCCCTTGACAGATATAAAGTTCAGTCCGGATTCATTTGCAACAGCCTAGGGAAAGGAAACCAAAGGACACAAGTCAGACAAATATAGACTAAAGTAACAGTAAATCGTGACAGCGCAGGGGCTTTTGCAGTTTATGCTGTTCCCCTTCTCTTACAGCTGTGTTTTCTTCTTAGACGCGCAGCTCACATATGGGAAAAGGAGAAATGGGTTAAACAAAAAAAAATCAATGGAAGGTTCACCTAAAACCTTCTTTTTTTTTTTAAAGATTTTATTTATTTATTTGAGAGAGAGAGAATGAGAGACAGAGAGCAAGAGAGGGAGGAGGGTCAGAGGGAGAAGCAGACTCCCTGCCGAGCAGGGAGCCCGATGCGGGACTCGATCCCGGGACTCCAGGATCATGACCTGAGCCGAAGGCAGAGCTTAACCAACTGAGCCACCCAGGCGCCCCACCTAAAACCTTCTAAGAACCACTCAGACTAGAAATCAGATGGAGATGACACAAACATTTATGTCAGCGTTTTGTTTCTGTAAACTCGCTCACATACATACATTTGCACATTTGTAGCTCTAGCTTGGAATTCCAGTGAAACCATAATCTCTGTATCCAACACGCCTTGCCCAGTGAAAGCAATTAATTGCTCATGACCTCAAATTCAAAAACATCAGTATCAGCCTTGGCCAAGGGTCATTGTTTCCAGATTATTTTTAATAACGATTAAACCTCATGGCTCAAAGCCAAAGAGAAGCACAAAGGAGACACATGCGGTTATAAGTGTGGAAGAATCTGACAAAGATCACCTGAAGATCACCTGGATGCAGAGATGAAACCTGAGCGAAATCACCCAGAGCTTCACAAGGACGAGGGAAGGGAGTTCCTTCCTCTCCTCCTCCTGGAGCCTGACCTCGGAGCTCCAGATCTACACCCAGCACACTGCTCGGCATCTCCCTCCTGATCGGACACGCATCTCAAATCCGTCATTACCAGAGCAGGACACCTGGATCTGTCCCAACTCCCTCCACACCCCACACTTCCAATTCCAACAGCTTTTAGCCCCAAACCGCGGTGTCCCCCTTGACCCTCTGTCTTGTGACATCATCCAATCTGCCCGAAAGTCCTGTTAGCTCTGATGTCAAAATGCAGGAGTCCACCACTCTCTGCTTCTCCACCACACACCCCCTTACGCAGACGGCCTCATCATCTGCCTGGATATGCAAAGAAACCAAACCAAACCGAAAAGACCCTGACTGGTTTCCTCTCCCTCTTGCTTTCCTCTGACCCATTCTCACACTGCACCTCGCACGCTTCTAAAAACGTCAATCATATCATTTCCCGAGGATTTGCATTCATCTTTGAGTACGACGTGAAGTATGCACCACAGCTCACAAGCCTGCAGTCTGGGACAGGACAGCTTCTTCGTGGTCCAGACACTGGCTTTCTCTGGATCTCAAGCTCAACCAAGCCCTTCCCCACATCAGGGATTTTGCCACTGCCATTCCCTCTGCCTGGAAGAGCCTTCCCCTTCTGTCCCTGGTGCCTCCTGTGGCCAGCCGGTCCCTTAGGACACGGCCAACTGTCAGCATCCCCGAACATCACTACCTCAAACAGCCACCTCCCACCCAATCATTCACCACAATCTGCTTATTTCCAGCCTCAGGTAGCTGAGCCTCCAGTGTTACCGTAGGACTCGTTTCCTGCCTGTCTCTCCGGCCAGACCGTAAACGCCACCAGAGGAAGTGCCTGGTTCACCTCCAACAGCTGCCGGCACAGGTAAGGAAGTCACAGGAACGCACGCGAGCTCTGCCACGGAGGGAGCGCTCGGCGGTCTCTGTCCTAGCTTTCACTCAGCACGACACGGAAAGGGGAGTCAGGGAGCACATCTAATGAAGGCTGACGCACCCACATCAGGTTTTCAGCTTCCACCCACCAGATTCCCAAGATTTAACCCACTAACACCCCCAAGAGCTCCTGAAGTTGTTGGAAATCTTGTGTCCTTGGTGAAGTGCAGTGAGCACAATTCACTTTTTCCTTCATGGACATCAGCCTGAGCCTCCTGCACATGGTCAGGGGCTGTCTGCTTCGGGCCAGAGCCCCAGGCACTCACTGACCTTACTCCTCTCTCTGCAGTTTCGTCAGTCATCAACGTGCAGGGTGCCGGCTCCGGCTACCATATGCCTTGACCCCACACTACTCGCACACTTCCCACGTGCCAGGGTTTAGAAAAACGTCATCTTACTGTGATCGTTGAGTAAACAAAACCACCAAGGTTAGCCCAAATCGTCATTTTATGGTCCAGTCTAGGTGCCAGGCTCTGAGCCACAAGTGGCTCCACGACCTTCCTCCAGTAACACTTGCTTCTGCCATCCAAGGACATTTTCCACCATTTCGAGATTTTCGGGCACGTACCTCCTGGAGCATCTGAAGAAAGTGGTGAACCCTCTCCCAGGAAAAAGTACACAGCCGCACAAACACCGCCTGGGCTCCTGGGCCCAGTGAGCCTGAAGGCCACCCACGGCATCCTCGGTAAGATTCCCCACTCCACATGGGCAGGGGCCGGAACGCGGGCGCACGCACAGGCATCAAGCTGTTGGCAGTCGGGGGAGGCAGGAGCAGGGGGAAGAGGAAAACCTGGTCGATGGATTTCAAATAACCCAAGCTGTCTCCCTTCTGCCGCGGAAAGGCTACTCAAAGGCAGATGTAACTAATTAAAAACAAACCAACGTGACAAGGCACCCAGGCCAGAGCCTTGCATCCGCCTGCTGAATTTACACGTTCACAGGCATGACCTTCCTTCTGGCTCTATCCTTCCAGAACTGCTGCCCTCTCCGTGGCGCCCTCTGCCCCCCCGCGGCTCCCACACTCCCGCACAGCCAGGCCCTAGAAGAGCACCGGAAGCATGGAGCAAGGAAATGTAGTCGTATCAGTAAGTTTGGAAAACTTCACGTGTGTTATTTGACAGGTGGATATTTGGTATTTACTGTGGCTACCGGATATTTACTGAGCAGTCACAAATTCTGTGGACCCTGTGGCACTTACTAAAAGTGCCATTAATTTTCATTTCCTATTTACAAGTAATTCAAATACTTTAAAAAGCTGATGAGAGCTAAGTAAATTATAGATGAAACATTATCCAGACATTAAAAATGACAGCCAACATACCTTATAGATAAGGAAGAGGAGTCTAATATGTATGATTCCAAAGGAAAACCCATAGACTGAGAAATTTGCCCACATAAATATGAAAAAAAGAAAAAAACACAAAAAAGCCATGTGTCAAAAATATGAAGTCAAAAGTGTCAAACTGATAACATTTACAAATATGACAGATTTTAATATATGAAAAATGATTATATAATCACACACATATCAATGGAAAAACAGACAAAGGATATGAACAAACAGTTCATTAAGAAAAATTGCCAATAAATATAGTTTGACAAGCCCACTGGTAATTTTTAAAATGTGAATTAAAAAGTGTCAGATACCATTTTTGCCTCCCCAAACATCAAAGATTAAAATCAGCATTATCGGCTCTTGCTAATGCAGGGTGTGGGGGATGATACGTTGATGGGGTTGAATCTGTACAAACCACCTGGAAGGCACTTCGGTGATGGAGCAGATGTAATCTGGTAATGGGTAACTTTGATCAAGTGGTAATGGGTCAAAAGGTTTAAAAACATGCATTCCTTTTATTGAAAAATTATTTAGGAATGCATTCTAATCAAATGATCAGTTGAGGTACAAAAAATGTAAGTACAGGACTATTCAACGTAGTGTTTCAATGGGGGATCATTTCTGTAAGTTACAGAATATCTTTATGACAGAATACTACACAGATGCTAAAAATATGGAGGTGTATATATGTTGACACATTCAAGAAATACTGCTCTGTGGGGAAAGCATCATTAAAGACCTTGTATTTGTCAAAACACGTGCATCGGGACAGGTGTGTATGGAGAACGTCTGGAAGGACTGACCACAGAACAAACCGGCGGTTAGCCGTGGTGAGAGGATTATAAGTAGTGCGACCCCTCCTCTGGCTTCTCTGTATTTTCTATTGCAAGAAAACAATTCTGTGAAACAATTGTTAGGGACGTAGAGGAAAATATTTAGGTTATAAATGATAACTACAGCGAAGCAGGAAAGAAGGTCAGCTACAAACCACAAGTACACAACGGTGCTTGCTAAAAAGCCAGACAACAGAAAATACGGTAAATGCTGTGTTAAAATCGATGGGGTGATGGCTGATGCACAAATTTCTTCTTTTGCAAATTTCCAATGATGTACTTTTTGTAATTAAAATAAAAGTGGGAAACCTTTCCGAAGAAATGGTCAGTCTTGCTAGAATGAGCCTGTGACAGAGATTATGTAAAACTCGCTCACTGTAAGAGGCTGCAACCCGAGGGTTCAACTCCTACTCTCCTCCCCGACAACAAGAAAGAAAACAGGGGCAGCTGTGTGCACACTGTACCTTTGCCAGCAGCGTTTTCCCACAGCCGGGGGGGCCAGCCAGGAGGACCCCAGCGGGAGTCACCAATCCAAGAGCTCTGAACTGATCGGGGTTGCGCACCGGTGCCTGTGAACAAGGCCCACGTCAGTCGTTACAAACGTCCACTCTGTACTGTGTGTCTGAATGATCTCGATGCAAGCTGCCGACACAGGCGATAAATATGGGACTCCCTGCTCTTGAGGAAATCACTTAAACAGAAGTTCTGAAAACGTTTTAAACATTAGGATACAATACTTCAGCATCTTAAAATCATGGGGTTTTTTTTAAGCTACCTAAATTCCCAGGTTATCAAGTTTTCAGGCAGGGCCATGCCATGAGGCTCAGAAGCAGGAGTGCCCTGTGCGGTCAGGGGACACAGACACATGCTGTACCCCTGCTCTTCGCTTTCAGCAGCCCCACACCTCAAAGCAGATCATCCTTCATTAACGAACCACAGAATGCTCAGGAAGGTAGAAAAGTAAGCGTGATAAAAATTAATCTGAAGTTTCACGGGCACTACATTGCTCTGACCCTTAGAGGGTGAGAGAGTTGAGAAAATAGTTCTCAGTCAGCTCTTGGTTGAAACCTACATTTTTTTTTCGTTCACTGCCAAGAATTCAAGCACAACCATGAGAATAAGTCTAAAACAGATGTCAGAAGAATGAGAAACTGCTGGATGCTTAATTAGAATCTAACAGGACCCACGGAAGAAAGCTACAGCCAGCCCATTTAGACACGCCGCCTCATGCACATGCCGGCCGCCCAGTGGCAGACACACCTACCAGTATCGCCATGGTGAGCTCCTCCCGGATATCTTCCAGGGCGCCGATATCTGCCCAGGTCACATTGGGGACGGTGACAAAGCCTTCCCTTTTGGCAGAGGGCTGGACGGAGGCCAGGGCAGCAGTGAAATCACCCCATTCGATGCACAGCCCCCGCAGCTGCTCCTCGGACAGGGGCTTGTGGCTCCTCAGCAGGTCCAGCAGCCGCTGTAACTCCTCCTGACAGGGAGCGATTGAGGGGGAAGATGAAGAAATGTGAAGTCTGTTGACAAAGTTATTTCGTACCTTTAAAAACTGCTACTGCGGTATTTCTTTCAGCTATAACGAGCTGAAAGGGGCAGGTGCCCTGACTGGAATGGAACGCAGGAGGATGGCCAGGGGCCACCAGCAGCTGATCGTGTTCAGGTCCACAACCACCAATTCCCACGTTTCATTTACAAGGAATTGAACAGCAGCTGAACCCTGATGGAATTAAACCGAAGTTACGCCGGTGGGAGCATCATTCACAGCACGGCTGCCCAGGGGCTTGTCCCCCACACAGAGAGCAGGCCAGCGTCCTATGACTACACTGAACCTTGAGCTTCAAAGGCAGATTTCTTGCTTTGTAAAGAATTTTATGGAAGGACGAGTGAACACTGAGTAATTCAATTCATAAAATCCCAACTTACGTAACAGCGTTATATAAGAACTATGCTTATTGTGAACTTTAACAGATATAGTTGTGGTTCCAAATGAGTAAGGAGGGAAAAGACATCTGAAACCACAGACCGAGATGCCCGCCCTGGAGAGCAGAGGCCGCGTGGCTCGAGCAGGCCACGGCCTCTTAAGCTTAGCCCCTCTGATCATGAAGCCACGTGAAGCCCCCGTGCAAACCATCAAGTGCTACACAAACGTGCTGAGTTTCACGACTCACACAGCTTGCGGCTGCCGCGCGGACCGTGCTCCGAGCCGCGTGCAGCGAGCTCACCGCGGACTGCGCCGGTGCCCGTGACCAGACGGTAACCAGGAAACAGGACCGAGTGCCCAGTGCTCTTATAGCAGTGGGCGAGCTCTCTCTGGCCAGGCCTGCAGGGTAAACACTGTAGGCTTTGTGGGACTCCCGTGTGAACTGAGAAGCGTGACAGCAGGGAGGCGATGTGTAAATGCAGCTGTGTCCCTCCGTAACTTCGGTGTCCATGATAGGCAGCGGGCGAGCAGCCCACGGCTCGCCAACCCCTGCCTCCACAATTTCATAATCCATGCTGTAAAAGGAACTTATTCAGGATCCGCTGAAAAAGTAAAACAACCTGTACTTTGGAAAACACAGCCATTCTGGGTGTGACTGATCATCACACCGTGGATAAAATGCCGATAAAACCGAAAATCATACACCTCAACTCCACCGACACCTGCTGTATGGCTGACGTCAGGACTGGTGAAGGTACCTGCACAGAAAGCACCGGTGTCCCAGGAGCGGGCTCGGCGCCCATCCAGTCTTCCCGGCCTCGTCCAGACGGCAAACCCGCACTCACGGGATCCTGGGGCAGGTGCTCCTGCAGCACCATCAGGACCCTGCTGACCGTACCCATGGCTGCCTCTCGGCACAGCGCCATCAGGTCCGCACCAACGAAGCCTGGCGTCAGGTGTGCTAAGTGACGGAAAGGGAAACTTTCCGGAAGTCTAAGTTTTCTGCACAAAGTTCGAAGTATTCTGTAGGAAAGACAAGGGCAAAAAAATTCAGATTACTGACCCACTAGTCAAAACAAGTTACTGTTTATTTGAGGTAAATGGCGCTTTGAGAGTAGATTAAATGGACATCTGCCATAAATAAAAGCCACCAGACTCAAGTAAACCATCAGTTGTATCCATCACAGAAAGCCAGGTTGATACACACCTTAACACCCAGTTTCACGTTAGGACAGTTACTTCTCCAACTTCACCGTACTGCACGTGTGAGAAAGCTCGCTCACCTGAAGTGGCACCAGGTAGGGCCAGGGAAACGTGGGCCTCCAGGTAATGACCATCAAAGGAGGACCTCAGACAGTTTGCGGTAAGAGCTCGTGAAGAAACTCACAAGCCGTACAGACAATCAGCATGGGAGCTCAGAAGCTGGCTTGGCCGCTCGCCAGCCTGGGCCCGTCACTGCCATGCACACTTGGGTTTGGTGGCTTGTTAGCTATGAATTATAGTAGCACTCACTCGCAGGGGTGTCAGCATGAGCACAGCTAAACCCCCAGAACAGTGGCTGAGCTCCGGTGAGCACCCAAGTGTCAGTTACTACAATTCACATACTGTGATGTTACCGATGAACTTGGGTAATAGTCTGGAATTTCCGAAGTTGTAGGGCAGAGGAGTATTTTCAAATGTCAAGCCGATGGAGAGTAAGTCCCAGAAAAGTCACTTGAGATCATGTAAGTGAACAGAAAAGCAGCAGATAAACATTACTGACCAATGAAAAATCACTCACTCAGACACTACACAACAGAAAGCAAAAAAAGGTTCCAGCGTAAAACCATTTTCACATGAAAACTAAGATATTCAGAACGGTTAGGAGAAATAGCTAACATAAATATCTTTTTCTCAGTTACAACTTCTATTTCTGAAAATATGTGGATATTTCCAGTCATCTTAGAAACTCCAAAGGAGGGGAAATTACCCAGGAAGAGATTTCCAGTTTCAAGATGGCAGAGTGACTGTTGCAGAAACACTTCCACTGCCCAGAAAAATAACAAGAATTGGAAGCACGAAATCCATAGTCCATGGAACCAGGAGGCGTCTGGACTCTCGCCACCCCGAGCCCAGCCCATTCTGGAAGGGAGCCACAGGAATGGGCAACAAGAGCATCAGTCTTTATTTGTATGAGGTCCTTCAAAAGCCGTCACCACTGGTCTTTGGCTCCAGGCTCCAGCGCAGCTCCATGTAGAGGGAGCTATTTATGCTGCTAGGACACTAAGGGAACGGGTGTTCGGAGGGTTCTGATGCTTGCTTACACGTCTTACTACCTAAGAAGAGAAAGGCCCTCCGACACGGGTCTCTCTGTGTCAGCTCTAGCTGATGCCCCAAAAATCCCCTAGAAGAGATTCAAACAGTAGGGGTTCCCAGAATAAATGATGCAGGTTTAATGCTGTATTTAACTATAAATAGGATGAATTTTAACTCATCTTTAAAAAATACACCTTTTGGGCGCCTGGGCGGCTCAGTCGTTAAGCATCTGCCTTCGGCTCAGGTCATGATCCCAGAGTCCTGGGATAGAGTCCCACATTGGCCTCCCTGCTCGGCAGGAAGCCTGCTTCTCCCTCTCCCACTCCCCCTGCTTGTGTTCCTGCTCTCGCTGTCTCTCTCTCTGTCAAATAAATAAAATCTTAAAAAAAAAAAAATACACCTTTTATTTTGGAAGTTTTAGATTTACAGAATTATTGCAAAGACAGTACAGAGTTCCATATACCCCACACCCGTCTCCTACTACTATGGGCAATTCTGAGGATTACTGGCCCAGAATTTTGTAGAGGACCCCTCAATGGGATTAGTCTGATATTTTTATGGTGATTAGACTAAGTTAACGTGTTTTCGGGAAGAAGAGCGCAGAGACGGAGCACTGTTTGCGCCCCTTACCACAACCCCGACCGGCAGGCCGGATGCCGTGTTTGGCAGGGTCTCTGCTGTGAGGTTGGTCCTTCCCGCTTCCACACTGTACTCTATGGAAATAAGTCACTATGCCCAGCTTGCATTCAAGGAGTAGGGAGTTAGACTCCACTCCCTCAGGGAGGTGCATCCACATAAATCATCCAGAATTCTTCTGCACCAGAGACTTGCCTCTTACTTCTTTATTCAGTCATTTATTTATATCAGCACAGGCCAAGCGATGCTTGACTGCCCGTACTCTCGAACCGCCATTTATAAAAAAACGAAGTGGATGATAAATGACATAGGAGAGGGGACAAAGTCAGATTAACCTTCCTTGGAGAGGTGCACTAATGAGGAGGGAGGAGATTTGTCTGGTGAACCCCAAAGAGCGGGGACTGGAAGCATCCAAGTGCTGGGCGGCAGAAACGGGGGCCACAGAGGAGCCCCAAAACCAGCAAGTTCTGGACAGCCTGCATGAGAAGCACTAAGACCCCACATCCTCTGCACGCCCTCAGTTAGCAGGATCCCCAGAGTGCGCTGCCCGCCAAGCCTGAGGCAGGAGAGGGGAGGTCCGGGTGTGCAGACGACTGCAAGCCCCTCCACCAGGAAACCAGGGTGTGCGATCCCGCACTCCTTCCCTGCCCGTGTCAGGAGTCCAGCAGCTACAGCAGCTAGACCTGCAGCCTGCGGTGCCTGTCTGCTTCTGAAAAACCTGAAGTGACTCAAGAAAAAGCATCTACGAAATGGACACATGGAGTTCTCTAGCTAAAATGTTAGCTGGTCGTCTGACTGCTTTATAGTGACACTCAGGCTTCAACAAACCCGCTCACGCCACAAATGTCCCATCGGCCACGGTCGGCCACTAGAGGAAAGCACCCACAGGAAATGATACTGCTCAATCCATCGTCAGGACTCCCAGCACAGCAGGCACTGTTGCTCAGACTGTGCCCATGATGCTCCTCACTGCCTCTCCTTGGGACACAAGGCACAGGACAGACCAGAACACGCACGCATGCAGACGCAGAGAAAACAGAGAATGTAAAGAAGTTGCAAGAGGGTTAGCAAAAGAAAACAATACAGCAATTATGAATTCCAGAACAGTTAAAATGGTGAAAAAAGGTCATATGATCCTGATACAGGACTTGGGTCAGCAGGGAACGGTATTTATACAGAGGAGAAATGAAAATGCTAAATACGGTTATACTCCAAATTCACGATACAATTGTACAGTACAAACCTGCGGCTATGGTTCAGATATCAGACACATTAAAGAAATATTTGTGAGGTATATAACGGCACTGCATGGATGTTATATAAAAAGTCTTTCATTAGGGGCGCCTGAGTGGCTCAGTTGTTAGGCGTCTGCCTTCGGCCCAGGTCATGGTCCCAGGGTCTTGGGATCGAGCCCCGCATCGGGCTCCCTGCTCTGCGGGAAGCCTGCTTCTCCCTCTCCCACTCCCCCTGCTTGTGTTCCCTCTCTCACTGTGTCTCTCTCTGTCAAATAAATAAAATCTTAAAAAAAAAAAAATAAGTCTTTCATTAGACACTGGCGTATTTATAATTGGAATGACACAGTGCCTGGACTTTGCTTTTAAAACGCTCCAGGGGATGGGACGCCTGGGTGGCTCAGTCGGTTAAGCGTCTGCCTTCAGCTCAGGTCATGATCCCAGGGTCCTGGGATCGAGTCCCACATCGGGCTCCCTGCTCCGTGGGGAGCCTGCTTCTCCCTCTGCCTCTGCCTCTCTCTCTCTCTCTCATGAATAAATAAATTAAAAAAAAAAAAAATCTTTAAAACGCTCCAGGGGAAAAAAAAAGTGGGGGATAGAACAAGACTGAAATGGTGATAATTGTTTGAAACTGGGGTTCACTGTTTTGAGGGTTTTAAAGCATGTCTGTACATTCCTGAGCATCCTCTCACTGGGAGGTGGGGTCTCCAGCCCCTCTCCTCGAGTCTGGGCCGACCTCTGTGGCTGGTCAACAGCACAGGGCAGTGGGAACAGAGGCTGCCGGACTGCCCAGCATGAACCATACAGCCCCGAGGCCCCCCGGCTCTGAGAAGCCCACAGGGTCCCGTGAAGGGTGCCACACGGACAGGGGAGGAGGGGAGGAGGGGGCAGACACACAGACAGCAGAGTCAGATCGGACAGACAGGTGCATAGATAAGCCCAGCCCAGCAGCTCGGAGCTCCAGCTACCGTCTCTGCAACCACACAACACCCTGAGATGAACCCAAATTCTTTACCCAGGGGACTTGTGAGAGACAATGATATGTTGTTGAAAGCCACTAAATTTTTCAGTGGTTCTTTCTGCAGCAACAGAAACTGGAACGATTATACCAGACTGCTTCATGTACACTGGAATTTTCCATAACGAAATGCTTTTAAAGTTGAGGAAGACATCAGCAGCTACCTTAGAATTCCTGTGTCGGAAGCTGTGCTAGGTACGTTAATGCAGTCCTTACAAGAAGCCTTTTCAAAGTTCTGGTACCGTTACCGTCTTACAGATGGAATGAGGCACTGTTATCATTATTCCTTTATTACAGGTAAACAAACGAAAGCTAGAAAATGTCAGCTATCCAGGAAAAGGCACAGGGACGTGCGGCCGAGCTGGCTCTACCTAAGACCACGTGCCCGAGCACCCTGCGCTCGGCCCACTGTCTCCCGAGAACCTGCTCTGGACCTCAACGGATACCTGAGCTCACCCCTCCTCATCAGGTGCTCCTCTTTGTACAACTCAGACCCCAGGGCTTCTATTTTCTTTCTTAAATTCTAAATCTCGGCTCCCTCCTTGCCTGAACCTAGACTGTTGAGCATTACTCTGGGAAAGAAACCCCAAGACCAGGCCTACTGGTGCCATTCTACACCCCAATCCTAAACACTGCCTGAAAATCCCGTTACCCTAGCCGGCTCATCTCAAATCATCCAAGAACATCATTTCAGACCTTCATCCTCCTTCAGCCTCTATCGGTCACGTGCCTGACTTTCATCAGACGATCTCATGGCTTGATTCATGGAGAAAATGCCATTTTCCAAGTACCCCAGCGACTAGCCCCCTGGCCTGCACCCCCTTCCCTCCACTGCTGCTCCA